TGACTCCTCAATCTGTTCCAGTCCCCTTTGCCTTTTCTGTCCTCTCCCTGGCTTCCCGCCTCACTGCTTGTGGGGCATGGCCTGGGTTCCTCTCTTCACCTGGGTCCCTGAGGCTGACTCCTCGAAAGAGGAGTAAGACCATGTAAAATCTCTACAGAGACTTTCCACATTATGTAGAATTATTTACAGAAACCATTTTTTTTTCTCTTATTAACACAGGGCCAAAAAAGATAAAGGTAGACTTAAAAAAAATTATAAAAATCATCTTTAAAAATAAACATACAATGACAAGTGTTAGAAATAATTTTATAAATGTTTTCTAATACTCATAGGGATTCAAGGAAATAGACTCAAATTGTATTTCTATTATTCCTTTATTGCAAAACAGACAAAAATAAATTCATCTAGAACACATAATGACTACAGCTTATGATTATTAGGTTTCCTTCATATACTAGGAGCTCTGGTGATATAGTGCCTAAGGCATTGAACTACTAACTAGAAGGTTGGTGGTTCAAACCGACCAGCCACTCCACAGAAGGAAGACTGAGCAATCTCAGATTTACTGTCTCGGAAACCCAAAGGGGGTTGTTATGAGTCAGAATTGACTCAATGGCAGTGAGTTTGATTTTTTCCCCCATGTAGTAGGTGCTATGCTATAATGGGAGCTCTGGTAACATAGTGCCTAAGGCATTGGACAGCTAAGCAGAAGGCCAGCGGTTCAAACGCACCAGCCACTCCGTGGAAGGAAGACTGAGCAATATACTTCCATAGAGGTACCACCATGGAAACCCAAGGAGGGGTCACTATGAATCTAAATCAATTCAATGGCAGTGAGTTTGTGTTATTTTTTTTTAAGGCACTATACTATATGCTTTTTATCATTTAATTCTCATAATCATGTTATAAAAGAGGTACTTCTACTGTCCCTCCTTTACTTGAGAAAACTGTAGTTCACAGAAATGGGATCTGAAACCAGAGATGCATGACTCCAAAGTCTGAGTTCTTAACCCAGCTTCCTATATTGTTTTCTCATCTACACGTCCAGAAATGTAATATCAAATTTGTATTATTACTGAAACTATAAACTCCCAGAGGGATCTAATTTAATTAGGAAAATTAGTTATTTTTTCAGTCTATTCTAGTTAGCATGCTAAATAGTCACAGCCCATTAAAAATATATTTTTTAAAAGGCTTACTTGATTTCTGACATGGACAGAACCTTTTCCCAGATCGAGGACATTCTCCACAAGCACCAACATGGCAAACCTGCTCACATGTATGGTTGCCACATGACAGTGTTTTTCCACATACCTAAAGTAAAATGTAATAAGCACTAGTGAACAATATAAAAAGTTAACCAAAAGGACTTCATACAAGACATAATCCATTTATAAATCACAAGAAAATTTTATTAGTATTTCTTATATTACCATGCTTTATATCTTACATGTTTCCTATGTTTTTTTTTTTCCCCTATAAACCAGAGTGTATTATAAAAATAAAATAAAGAAAAAGTGCATATGGCTTCTTAATGGCCATCCATCAAAACTTTCCAAGTGAGACTAAAACCATGCCACTCCTAGAACAGGCCTACAAACTCAATCAATCCTACTTCCTCCACTGGATTGACTCAAGACCTACGAGGGATAGGTGCAGGGGTATTGGTTGAACAGAGAGGAAAGAGGAGGAGGAGGAGGTAGAGGAGAGAGAGAGAGGGAAAGGGGGAAGGGGGGGGGAGAGAGAGAGAGAGAGAGAGCGCTAACAATAGCATACGTAGGTATTGAATCCAAAATTCATCAAATAGCTGTTAATTTGGAAAACAATTTCCCTACTACCACTAATTAAAATGACATTAAATTGGATAGTGTCCTAAAGCATGAATAGAATCCATCTGATTTGCTTTTCTTCTTTTATCTAACTAAAGCTAATTAGCATTTGTTTTTGAATTAATACCCATCCCTCATAATGCACATATACTTACTTGATTACAGTGCCACAGTGGACTTGCACAACTTCTTTCAGCTACTTGTTTGCCACAGACACATTTCTGTCTACTAACTCTTGGACAAGGCGGACAATTTCCTAAAACAAGAATGATAAATTAGCATAGAAGCATATAAAAGCAAGAGAGACTGCTCTGACTTTTGCTTAAAGTCAAATACATAACAGGTATAATCTTTTACCTGAATGACAAGGATTTTCACACCTATGCTGTCCGCAAAGCAACTTGCGCCCACATTGCAGCTGACAGGACCATTCCTTGGCACTGCACCTACGAGGGATAGGTTTTGCTTTCTTACAGTAACAAGTAGTTGTAACCATCTTTGGACAAGGAGGGCAGGGACCTAGGATCCAAGAAAGAGAAGGAGAAGAAATCAGGAGTCAAAAGCTAAAACTTCCAATACCTAAACCTATCAGTAATTTCTAAAGCTTTCCTTGCTAATACTTTAAAAGGCTCTCTCTCTTGTTATTTTCTGAAAGCAAACTAAAGTTCTGAGTTCAACTTTCAGAATTTTTTTGGCTTTAATATAAGAATATATGAAGAACCACTCACAATTAAAAATGTAATAAATATCTAACTCACCTGGATGACAAAGGAGTAAACACTTATGGCCACAAGGAGGTTTAAATTCTCTCTCACATACTTGGCCACATGAATGAGGCACCAGCCATGGGTCTAAAGGTGGATCTTCTACTTTTCCACAGTAGCAATAGTACCTACTAGGTGTTTCAGATCGTTTGTATTCAAACCTGCATTTTGGACTGTAAAGAATGAAAGAAATTACTAAAGTTAATTTCATATTTAAAAGCAACATAAACCAAAACCAAACTCAATGCTGTCAAGTCAGATCTGACTCACAGCAACCCCTCCTTGGGTTTTCGAGGCGCTATCATTACGGAAATAGACTGCCCAACCTCAGCAGTAAAACGTAAGCAGTAAATATAAATATACTTAGTTTAAGAGTTTAATTTTTTTACATTAAGGCACTTTCTACTCCACATTTACATTAGTAAATAAACAAGATCTTAGCAGAATTAATTCCCACTGTTAAGAACAACTCTGTTCAATACCACTTCCTGAGATGACTGAACTGTTCTATACCTACAGTGTCCACTACAATAGCCATTAGCCACACACAGCTAGGAGCACTTGAAATGTGGCTAGTGGATGCAACTGAGAAGGAATAGATTTATTCTATTTTATTTATTTTCAAAAATTTGCATAGCCACATTAGCTGCTACAGTACTACCACATGCCTAAAATACAGCTACAAAAAGAAAGCAACATTAGCTTTCCATTAACTACTTGCACTTTATTTCTGAAGTACTCACCCTGATTTTTATTAAAGTCAATGGTTTAAAAGTTTGGTGTATGGTTCATAAACAAGTAAAATACCTTAGCAGCAACAAATAAAAAGCAAAGAAAAACTAAGACAGTGAGGTCATAGGCAGGCAACATGGCAGCCAGAAGGATGACTAAGATCCAGAATTAAGGGGGGAAGAAAACATGAAAGTAATCAAAGAATTTCATCACTCTTAACATCTCACACATAACTGATATATTTCAAATGTGCCTAAATGGAAGAAGAGCTCAAATTATGTTTCATATTCTCTGCTAAAGAAGAGAGATTTTTAATCAGCCAGATCAAAAAAAAAAGTTATCTTTCAGGTCCATCAAAAATTAATTTGTAGGTCATAGATCCCTTCATTCTCAAAAAATGCTCTAACCTTTATTATTCTCCAGACAAATGAGGTGTTAGGACACTTTACTAGAACAAGTTTCATATCATCACTTATATTTCTTTTGTACTGTTGTGACTTGCCAGTAAGTCAGCCCTTGACTCACAGAGACCCCATGCGTGATGAGATCAAACTGTTGTGATTCACTGGGTTTTCAATGGCTTATTTCCACTGTCCTGAGAATATGTTCTGTTTCTACATAAGCTCCACATAAATATATAAAATAATCAAAAAACATTTGTTCTTACAATTAAAAATCAAAAACAAAATATCAATTCTCATCTGGAATACATAATAGACATTTGTTAGAAGAGTTAAATTTTCCTTATGAAAAAATCCTACCACTCCTTGTAAGCTATTGTGGAAGGAGATATATACTTTTAATTAGCTTAGATATGAATGGCCATCAGGCAACTCACTACACCTTAACACACTGCCTGTCAGCCCTGATACTGAACTATTGCAGAAGACTAGGGAAAGTAAAGGCAGAAGTGCAAATGCATGAGTTTTATTTTAAATAACAGCATGTCAGTAATGAATACAATTATGCTTTATCTTCTTTATAAACAATATTTTAGGTAGGAGCATGTAAACTTTTGATTTCCACAAAATAAAACTATTAAAATTTTTTTGATCAAGTTCTAGCTCCATTTTGACAATGACTAAACAAAATGAGCTCTCAACCAAAACAAACATTTCCTTTCTTAAAAAAGGTAGAATATAGAATGCAAACAATACAATACAGTTCATTAAATATTTGTTCCTTATAGCTTTATAAAAGTACCAGTTCACTTTTTAATTGGCAAAATGATTACTTACATATAAGGTTTAAGTCTCTAAAAGAAACAAGCTAGAATATCTGATTTAATTCTATACCTATTAAACACTAAAATCCCCCCATAAATAATATACAGCATCAAAACAAATTACACTTTGAAATTTTAAACTGCTTCAGAGAAGATAACATTTACTGAAGAGAACACAAACAGTATCTCTAAAAACAATACCATAGGACAAAACCAGTTAGAAGCATAGATATAGCTCTAAATTTATAAGTCAGAAATCCTACTTTAAAATCCTGGCTCCACCACTTATGAATTAAAGGATTCTGAACAATAACATGAAGCGTCAGTTAGCAATATCCCACTGGTCACATGGGAATTAACTCTCCCACATATTGCTGAGAACTGTTTTTATAAAGTAACTAACCCAACCCACCAGTGGAATCCTGACTCATAGCAACCCTACAGGACAAAGAAGAACTACCCCATGGTGTTTCCGAGACTATAAATCTTTACAAAAGCAGACTGCTGAAGCTTTCTCTCACTGAGCAGCGGGTGGGTTCCAACTACCACCTTTCCATTAGCAGCCAAGTAATTAAACACTGTGCCACCAGTAATTAGCAGGTGAAAAATATTTTTGAAAAACCACACCATCACAATTTTACAAGTGTACTGGTATTTACAGTAATAAGGGGAGGTCTGAAACAGATTCGGGCTTTAGGAGGTATGAATCTTATACAACTTAAGGGCCCTCATTAAGAAAAAGAACACAAAATTAGAAACACAGATACAGAAGTGAATATAAATGTAAATACACAGGGTCCCTTAAGCTTATTACTTCATTATCTTGACAGTAAATCTACCCCTCTGGGTAGACAATTTTTAAATTGTCTTTTTTAATTTTTATTTCCCAACTCTTTCTGGGAATGTAGGACAGAAGTTCAAGATCGTATAACTTATCAATCATAGTACTGATCATATAACCATCAAGTCTATGCCAAACTAATAAGATAAATACAAACGAATTAATGAAATGAACAATATACACCTGCTGTTCTGAGGGATTTTGAGAGTAAATTTGGACTCCTATGATCAAAATAGATGATAGTCTTTCATAATGTGGTACTATTCACAATAGGAACTCCAAAAGAGAACTATCAGAATTATTAAAGATTCTCAGTCCTATAGAAAAGAAAGTCCTTTAAAAAGGCTAATTAAAGAGTTGTTTGGCGGGGGTAGGGGGGGTGGGGGGTGGAGAGTTATAAACCTTAAATGATTTATATTATTGAATTATTGAGAGGAATAAGTAGTTAAACAAATTGGAAACAAAATAAAACACTACCAAGGTTGCATTTCATCACAGACCACATAAACGCCAAACAGTTATTAAAGCTGCCAGTAAAACAACGCATGATCTACAGTTTTCAAGTATTCCACAACTTAACATTCCACATTAGAAAAAGTTACCAAGGCCACGGATAATCTCTCTTTCCAAAATCATCATCAGTCAAAGAAGATACAAGAAACTGGCTATCCTTAGCCCACTTCTGGATACAAGGCATGTGAAATATACAGTAACATCCCGAACAGCTCCAGACCTAAGACAAAGGTGGTAGAAGTTAACATGCATGTAATGATTTTACTTTAAATGAGCATCACATTAAATTACTTTCAAGAGCTACCTAAGGATTAAAGGAAAAATTACTCCAGTACAATAGAAGAAATATTCTTCATAAAAACATATTAAAATGCAGAACACAGTAAAGAAAAAGATGAATCAGCTAGAAATAAGTACTGTTAACATTCTCAATGGGCACCAAATCTTTCTGTACATATTTTACAATCTTAAAAAATAAGGTCATACTGTACGGACTGATAGGTAATTTTACAGTCTTAACATTGTATAAGCATTACCCTTGTCAAATGTTTGTACAACATGATTTTTAAACTGTACAATACAGAATGTAGATTTATGTACCATAATTTAGCCAATCTTTTAATGTTGAACATTGTTATAAATACACTATAATGAAATCCTTAAACATAAATATGTATATATCTCCATAGAGCCCTTCTGTTATATAACACCCATTAGTCTAGCACTTACAATGCTTAAATTCTAAAAATTAGGTAATTTGAAAACTTGAGAATACATATATATATATATATAATTTTAAAACTTAAAAAAATAGTAAATTAATTCCTAAAGTCTGCTAACACTCTGATATAATGAACAAAAACAGTTCTCCTTTCACTGTAACATTTTGTAACTGTCTGATATAACCATAGACATACACTACACTGCCTTAGCTGGAAAACACACAAAAAACAAAGCCAACATGTTAGTTTGGGTTTTTCCCAAAGCAGAGGCTTAGACTGTATGAGGACTTAAGTAATGTCTGAAGATCTTTCTTCCCCAATGACCCTACAAACTTCCCACAGTGCCTTCACCACAGTAGAAGCTCCCTAATAAACCATAACAACTGCTAGGTTCTGCTTCCTTGAAGGCAAGAGCCATAATCAACTTTTCATTAAACTACTGAAAGTAAGGAAACATGGTTCATTTTAGTAATTCAGTATTTGTGGAAATCTCTAAAGTACTGATGTTAAAAATGTTCTATCAAATCAACAGGGGCATTTAAAACTGATACTTATTGCAGCTTAGTACTAAAATTACTGGATGCTTACTGGGGTAATTTTGAAAAAAATTACAGATTCACAAAATGAAGATTAGTTCATACTCAAAATTATCAAAAGAAGCACTTTCAAACAAAAAGTAAGACAATAATAATATATGGTTAATTATTATAAATGCAAAATAAGATTTTTTAGGAGCTATATTACTACACATAAGGAGAAAACTTACTGCTTGGTTTCTCTTCACTGAAGCAATACAAATTAAGCATGTCATAGCCCCTGCTTGAAATGCTTCATTTATATACTGTTTTGTTCGTTCTAATTCACATATATCTCCATCTTGAAATTTAAAAACAGAAATCACAGTTTAAGCAACATCTAAAAACAACACAAACTCACTAATAGCACTACATTATGTAACAATTATCTAGCAATTCCAATTCCTTAAGCTACACAACTAGAAAATAGAAAAGTATTTTTATTATTATTATTGAAAAAAAACCACCTATGAAGTGCTAAGAGTTCACAGAGTCCATGCATTAAAACTTAGGTTATATATTCAAAAACAGGATGCTAGCATTCCCTCAGCATGTACCCGCTTTTATTACTGTTACCGTCCTCAACAACTTTTGTGGAAGGAGAGCCTTAGGTAAGAACAGCAAGATGTAAAGTAACAAAGGAAAAGCATACCAAAGAGCAGCTTCAGCTGAACTCAATGTGAAGCTAAGTAGAACCATTTACCTTAAACACAAGCGTGTGTATGCCCACCTGTGTGTGTGACACAGCACATTCTTAATAAAAACTTGTTGAATGAAGAACTTAACTGAGAAGACTCTGAGGTCATTACAGTGTATCAATCTTGTTTAATTGTGTTCACTATTTATGCTTAAAAAGGTAGCATAAAGGACATTTTTTAAAAAAATCACTAGATTTATTTTCTTGAGGTAATTACTGAGCGCTTTATTTGCTAGGCACTGTATTATCAGTATCTCATAAGGATTAAGTGAACTATTATCCTCATTTTACAGATTGAAAAAAAAAAAAAAAACCTGAGACAGATTAAGTAACTTCAATCTGACTCCCAAGTACCTCAGCCCTCCCTCACAGTATACTTCGCCTTTATTGCTATTACAGCCCTTAACAAATGTCATGATCTTTCTCAGGAATAAGTAGCAAGACATATGTAACAAGAGAAAGCATACCAAAAAGCAAGGTATGCAACCCCTATGCTATGCTGGAGGAGCTCTGGTGGTGTATAGTGCCTAAGGCACTTGACTGCTAACCAGAAGGCTAGCAGTTCAAACCC